TGTTATTATTATTGTTATTATTATTATTAATTATTATTATTATTATTAATTATTATTAATACTACTCTGTTATTGTTATTATTAGCAGTAGTGTATTATATTAGAGAATGAATGGTTGCATGTGCTTATGTGCTTAGGCTTATGGTTACTTGACTACGACATTGAATATTTTTCATACATATTTAATTACTGCTCATTTCAATGCAATTGTTTTAAATTATTATTATTATTACCATTATTATTATTATTATTATTTATTATTTATTATTATTATTACCATTATTATTATTAGCAATATTATTATTATTAGCATTATTATTGTTACTATGATTATTATTATTCGCGAGCTGTGTAATCTTGTACATATATGATGAAAGCTAACGGCGCTGTTCATTAGTATGAATGTAGTCGTGTTTGTATGTGTCTGGATGAAGCAGTAGTAATACAAGGCATTTTATTATTCTTTAATAATAATAATGATATTACTAGTTTATTTCAGATATCTTATCCATTGCAGTGGTGCTGAATTAGATCCATCGATTTTTGTCGTCGCGTTTTATATTTTTATCTTAGAAATATGTTTTATGTGCAATGTGCCGCCTCCCAAGCCGGTCGGTCGTATGGTTTGGTCGTCACTCATTGGTCATATTAATAATAATAATAATAATAATAATATTAATGATGATGATAGTAAGATATAGTGATGATAATAACAACAGTAACATTTATTGTTACTACTATTATTATTATTGTTATTATTATTATTATTATGATTATTATTATTGTTAATATTATTATAATTCAGCTAATTTGACCCGCTAGCTTTGATTCAGCTGCAACCGACAAAATGAATGCTAACTAGCGATACTCGAGAACTTGTGAGCGAGTTGCAATTTGTTGAACGATAATCGCACGGCGATTGATTGAATTGTAAATTGAATCGCACGTTTGCGTGATCTTAACAGTCATCTTGAAATGAAATGTTTTTGTGAAATGCTTATATTGCTGTGGGCTTTTACTCCGTTGTACGCACGCAATTATAACTGTTTATGTTATAATGATATAATTAGCTTGTGTGCTTATTCAGTCACTTTGAATTTACTCGTTCAGAACGACCTATTTGTGCATTAATTCCCTCTTATTACATTTACTGCTATTATATATTATTCTCTATTTAATATGATTATATATATATATATATA